AAAAAAAAAATTTACATAATAAAATTTTTTTTATCGATGCAATATCTGAGGTACGAATCTTTTTGCACCGGCCCATAGCTTGAGTTGAATTTTAATGAGCTGGCTCATGAGACTTGCGAGCTAGCTCAGCTTATGAGGAGTTTTAACAAAATGTCTTACAACTAAGTTTTCTTAGCTGGAATTGCTAAACATCACTAAAAGAACCTAGAAAGTTTATCGTAAGTTTTTTATATATTTTACAAGGTAGGTATTTACCTTTTTCTAAAATTAGATATCAATTTGCTTTTTTCTTTTATCCGAATCCTTGATCTGTATTATTCTATACACATATTACTGTTATTGTTTCTAAGTAATAATTAATATCTATTTTTATGTTTTGATGTCTGCATACTCCATAAAATTATAACACTATGTGATTCCTTTTTACTCTCTTTATTATAGAGAGGCAGACCTTTTACAACAATATAGCTAAAGTATTTAATAAAATCAGAAATCTTCTTATTTCTTTCACTCTCATATGTTCTATAAAGCAATTGTTGCAAAGATTTTTTCTTAATCTTTCATGTTCCCATTATAATAAATTTATTAAAATCCTATTTCTTATTTCATATTTCTCTAAGAGCATCTTCAACAATTTTGTGAATTATATGCATATTATTTATATCTATAATTTCCTTATAATCCTCTTTTTAATGAATTTGAGAAGCTAGGTTTTACCTTACTTACAGTATCTATCCCTTTCATGAAAAGGTTTTTCAGTTTAAAGTTTACTACATCTTTATGCCTAATCCTAAAGTACTTTTTTTTGCCAGTAAAGCAAACAGAAAATAATACCTTTTTATATTGTTATATGAGTTGATTATAAAGTCACTGCTGAAAAATAGATTTCAATATATATAGCAAAGTTTTAGGTATCTGAAGGATAATAATCTAACTTAATAACTTTAAAAACTTGTTCATGTTAATAAATCTATTAAATTAACAGCATATTAATTATAAATATATAAATACTAGGGAACAGTACCACCATTGTAAAGTCTGGAGCTTAAGATCACATGAATTAATTATGTCAATATCATTGAATATGTTATGCTTACTACAAAATTATATTAAACGAGATCAAATTTATTTATTATTTATTATATCTATAAAAATAAATACAACACATTTTAGAAAGAATTTATTAAATCTATGTTGCAGTCAGTTTCTTTTTTAGGAAAATTTACCACAGTATTTATAAATAGCTGATATTTGTTATCTCAAATGATAAGCGGGCAGACAAACGGACACAACGCATAGAAAGTAATTAGTTCTTCGCTAACGCTCTGGACTAATAAATTGGGAATATGTATAAATATTTTAAATTTTAAATATGATGAGAGAGTAATAATGATGAATTGTGTTTTAGGTCATGAGTTTAACAGATCAATAATATTATAGGGATAATGTTTGGTTTATTAATAAATATAAGTGTATTAATATGATTCAGTAAACTAAATAAACTCTTATTCACAAATTTATCAGAATATGAATTTCACAATTAATTTTCTAATTAATTTTAACTAAAACTAAACTGAATATAAACTTAACTCAAATTTAACTGTCTGTCGTTTACTACAGCAATTTCCTATCCTATTTATATAAAATATTTGATCTATTTTTATTACTAATTTAAGATAAAGTAAAACTATTAAAACTAAAGAAATATTATAAACCTTATTAATTTAGTTAAATATATTAATTAATTTAACTAAATAAATATAAGAAATTAATTAAACTTAAACAATTATAATGCATAACATCTATACTCATCAAATGAGTCCAAAATTTTTTTGTAGATCATCATATGACTTGATCACGTAAATTGATTTTTATTAGTCTAAAAATAATCATTAGACATTTTAAAAAAAATTTATTTATTTTAATTCTTCTAATTCTTCTAAATACTATTTAGAATTCTTCTATGTGATTTATATTTTTTAACAGCATATTTTGCCAATTTTTCACAAATACCTTTTTTATAAGTATTCATATAATGTCAACATTTTCTTATAAATTTTCTAATTGTAATTAAAAGTACTGAGTCAAGAGATTTTAGTACAACTTTTTGTAATCCCTTTTATAAATAATTGCAATTTTCTTGTATATATCTTTACAAGTTTCCTAATACCTTTCAATAAAATTTAGTTCATAATGAAATTTGAGGTAAAAAATACATATATGACCAGCCTTTTCAATTAATTCTTTAATTACTCCTTTTTGTACAAAAAAATCAGGTTTTAAAGATATTACTTAATGAGCATAACAAGAAATTTTTGAAGGATTATGAATTTTTTCTTTACAATTTTTACATTTTAGTATTAATCCTTCAGATAGCCATTTTTCTCATTCTATTAATACTTGTTTAATTCCTTTTGGCTTACCTCAAAGTTTTTCATTATGATGTGTAGCTGAAAATATCATTGATTGCAGCTATTGATTTTCTTCAAAATAAGTATTATGCATAATTAGTTGCTTGTTACCAGGATTTAAATTCATTCAGCTTATAACTAAAAAACCTTTTCCAAATACAGTATGATTAGAACTATTATCGAAGGCAAATACTAATACACAATTTGGATACAATGTCTCAAAAATAGAAATAGCTTTATATTTGATTTGTTTAAGAAGATGATCAGCTATCCAGTAACCTTTTTGATTTTTACCAGGTTTTAAATAGTATCATGCTTTTTCAAGTATATTTGGATTTGTAATATATCTTCTTGTTGTAAATGCAAATGTTCATTAATTTTAATAAGAAACTCACCAACCATTATAAACTTTTTATTCCCTTTTTTTTATAGTGACAGTTCTTCTTTTTTGGCTCAAATTCTGTGTTTATCATCATTAGAATAAAAAATACACTCATTATGAATTACAAGAATTCTTTCTTTTTTTTTCTTCAGGTAAGTTGGAATGTATACAATTTATTGGTTTACTTTTATACTTGGACATATATTTCTCATATTCAACCATTTTTTCTAAAAATACTTTACGATATTATAAAACATCATCTTATTTGTATCTGTTGTAATATATACTTTGATGATATTATTAAAATAAATAATTAAGAATATTAAGCAATCTTGTTATAGTCATTAAAGAAATATATTTTTTTTGTAATTCTGATATCAGGCAATAGCTTCTGTTTAACAAATTCTTTAAATGTAGTTAGCGTAATTTTAAAATTTTACTTGTGAATCCAAATTCAACATTTTTTAACTATATCTTTATTTATTAATTAATCTAATAGTTTGTTGATGCTTTTTACGTTTAGATACCAGAAGTTCATTATTATATAACCAGTAATTTGCATTATATTGGATATATTGTGTTTTTTATGAATCACTATCAATAAAATGATTTTAGTTGCCTCTAAGGTTGCTGGACGAAATCCAGAATTTAGACAGATGCCTAAATAATAAAAGTAAAACTTGGTTAAATTATATTAAAATCTTATTAAAAAATCTGCAAAATTCAGAAAAAGATAAAACTATATTAAAGCTTATAAAAATAGCGAAACTATATTAAATACTTAATAAAAATTTAACGAAATTAAAGGTTTAGATATTTAGCTAAATCCAAAATGAGTTTAGACAAGTAACCTTAGTTACCTTTAAACTAGCATGCATTTTTCTATTATTTAAGCAGGTAAGATATTCATAGATAACTTTTTATTTATTATATTCAGTAACGATCATTTTATTATATTGCTTTTCTAATTGTTCTTTTAAACTTTGTATTCTTTTATCAATTTGATAAGTATCTTTATTGATGATTACATCTTCTGAATTACTTAAATGCTCTGAATGCTCTATTTCATCAGGTCATATAATTATAGCTTGATTACCAACTTTAAAAAAATGTAATTTTTTTAATATTAATGGCTGCCTTGATAAATGAACCAGTTGATCCATATTTTTCATAATAACTTAATCTTAAAGTCTTTCCTGTTATACAGAGGGTAGCCAAAAGTCTCTGAACACTATGTTTGACATCGTATATCTCAAGATGCACCGATCAGATTTAGT